TACAGAGAACTCAGGAAAAAAGTAGGAAGAGTGCTGTTACCTGGAGAGAGTTGCAACTAATATTGTGAAACAAAATGTGCACAAATTGTTGAACAGAAAACTAATTTACTCTGTATCTTTCACCAAAATCACACACACAATAAATAAAGTAGCAGTAAATTACTATGTGAACATATTAAATGGAGTTTAAAGAACTAAAAGAATTAGCTTTCAGAGCTTGTTTGACATAAATAGGAGCTGGCGTAAGTGCTGAGAAAATATCCATATTTAGAGGACAATGACTGACATGAAATGATGACACGTTTCAATATGTGTTTGTTTAATGTGTATATTTTGCACTTTACAGGTTATTACCCATATATAGCACTGAAGAAGTCACTTTAAACTCATTTCTGACTGAATTGTTGTTTTTATGCAAATTACTTTACATAATGAGTTTCTTAAGTAATAAGCTTCATTGTGCAGGATATGCCATCCAATAATTGAGTGTGACTTGAACATCCGCTGCAAACAGAAAGCAAGGGCATCATGGTCAATTATTAGTCAATAGAGAGCTTTTAATGAGAAGGATGTAGTTAGCATAATGCTTTAAAATTCCAGAACCTTGTTTCATAAACCATTCACATTAAAAACTTAAAAAAAAATGTGCTCAATATTCCTTTTTTTGAGGAAGGAGAGAGCCTCAGAATTGTGTTAAATGTTCAATACTGCTCGACATTATTCCTCCTCACTTTTCCTTACATACTTATTAAACATCTTAGGATTTAAAAGAGACACTTGTGATTTTTCAAAAGTGGAAGATAGAAGACTGAGATGGAGTTGATTAGACTAATACATATAAGGAAATACTCATTTTGAAGTAAGAAAGCAAATTCTACTCTTCCCTGAACACTTAAAGGATAAAATAGTTTGACAATCTCAACATGCTTCCATAATTCCTAAAATGGACTCAGATTGGTTTCATGATTGGAAATTAATCTAATTTTTTGTATTGTTTTCACTTATGTCATGATTTAGGACTTTTGTATGTTAAATCAGTTTCATGTTTAATTCTTTCTGTTTAAGATGACTACTGCACAAAGATTTTTTTTTTTTCTGTTTTGTTTTTTTGGTATCACTTTCTTTTTCAAGGAGTGTACTGTATAATCACCGAACTCCTCTGTAATTACATGGCAAAGACTGTGTAAATACGTAATTATGTTCATGCAGATTACTTGATAATTATACTTCCAGTTACCAAGTAATGAACAGAATAGTCATCATGCAACTTGCAGTCCTTAAATTTTCAGCTTGGTCTTTGTTTTAACAGAGAGAACTAGATAATTACTCTATGGTTACATGGCACTTACATTGTCAACAGTCATGTATTTACAGTGTTATTATGTGGTTATTTTTTACCTAATAAAATAAAGTGGTATTGTCATTTAAAGACATCCTTTCTTCCTCGTTTCAATAAGAATTCTATGTTTCACATTGCTGAATACCAAAGATGAGCTAGTCTTTTGTATATGCTTTAGTACACAGAATCAGCACAAATCTGAAATTAGAGAGATTTCTGAAACTGTCTTTCCCAGGATAAATCTAAAAAGAGAGAAGGAGAGAAAAAAGACACTGTAAGTCAAGTTTAATTAGTGAAACATGGAACATATATGTATTAATCTTAAATCCAGGAGGCAGATTCTCTAACATGATTTTTTTATCTTTTACCTTAACCACAGTACCATTTAGCCATGGTTCCCTCTGTCAGGAACGTGCTTCCTCCATTATTTCAAGATTGCCATCTTTCTTTGGGCACCTCATCCCTGAATGAATAAAACCTATGCTTCTTCCTTTAACCCTTGGGACCTACACAATTTGCGCTTTGTTATGGTAAGTCTGGACTTACTACAATATCTTCCCTCCAAGCCTCTGACTGAATGTTCTTCATCTTGTTATCTCCAATCTCTGGCAAAGAGAATGGGATATGCATAGTTTATAAATAAAGGTTGTATTAATAACTTAAATAACAGTATATTATATTAGTTGAATAACTGATTAATAAATTCTAAAATTATTACCTTTGGCTATTCCATTGGCTATGCCATGCATCAATGGATATCCAATGATGTACAACATTTTCTAAAATTTTAGAGCATTTATCTTAAAAGTTTACTTTTTCATGACATGCTTTTGTAGTTTGAACCCACCCAGAGGCTCTGCAGAAGAAAAGATCTGGTGATCTGCTCTGATAAAGATTACAACCTAGAAAACTCTATGGGTAGCTTTACTCTGTCACATAGAATCACAATGAATTGAATTGACCAGATAGCACCTAATGACAACAACCACATAGTCCATGCACTGTGATTGGTACAGGGGTTATTCAAGAATAAAAATAAGATAACCTCCTACCCTTATTCACTGAACTCACTATTCATGGGTAGAAATATTCATCTTTACAATGAACTATAATACAAGGCAGAAGAAACCAACATCTGTAATACAATACAACAGAAGTGTGGATACTGCATTCCTATAATCTCAAGCAATGGTAGATTTCACTGGCTACTTTATTTTTCAGAGCAAATTGGTCCATGTTACTCAAATAAACTAACCTTTCATCTTGCATGACCCATGTATTGAAAACTAATAATTGGGTTGGTTCATATGAGTTCTTATAAAAACTGTGAAACAAGGTATTGTGCTTCAAGTATTAACAAGCATTAAGTGAGACTAGACATTTCTTATTTTGTTCTTCTGGCGTATGTGAACCTGCTTTTTTTTTTTTTTTTTTTCAAATGCCATCACTTGATGGCAGTTTTTACTTTATTCCCTTGTGTAAAATGTTTAGTTATACATATGAAAAATACTGAAAATACCATGGACTGCCAGAAGAACTAACAAATCTGTCCTGGAGGAAGTATAGCTGGAATGTTCCCTGGAAGTGAGAATGAACAGACTTGGTCTCACCTACTTTGGTCATATTGTCAGAAGGGACCATTCCCTGGAGAAGGATATCATGCTTGGTCAGCAAAAAAAAGGGCAAGGCCCTCAATGTGATGGATTGACACAGTGGCTACAACAATAGTTCAGGTATAGCAAGGATTGTGAGACTGACACAGGACCGGGCAGTGTTTCATTCTGTTGTCTGTAGGGTCGTTATGAGTCAGAGCTGACTTGAGGGCACCTAACAACAACATTAATGCATTTCGCTGCTAACCAGTAGGTCAGCAGTTTGAACCTCCCAGCTGCTCTGTGGGAGGAAGATGGGGAAATCTACTCCTATATAGATTTACAGCCTTGGAAACCCAGTGGGTGTTGTTATGAGGCAGAATCTACTTGATGGCAGAGGGTATATATGTATTTTAATTATGTGTGTTTTACATTGTTATTTTTTTAAAGAGAGGTTTAATCGATATGTGCTGATATGTAAAGATCTCCAAGATGTTCTAGAAAGTGTAAAAAGCAAAATGCAGAATAGTGTGCATAGATTTCTTGCATTTATCAAGATAGGACTACTGATACCTCTTTTGTAAGTATGTATGTGTGTGTATTGGTAAACAGTATGCAATTGTGAAACATGCTATTAACATACACACTTACAATGACTATAAGTAAAGTTGTGTAGGAAAACTGATAAAAGAGTAATAATACATTCTCAATGGAAAGTATGACCAACATACAGACTTTTTGGTTAATTCCTCACCATATAGATTTCTACTATCTTTGTCAAAACTACTGCCGTGTTTTCAAACCAGTATACTGCAAAAGATCAATGAACCTTTATCTTTTCATGGTCTGTTGCTATGTGAGCACTATGGAAGCTGATAACAGTTCAGGACTTGGTCTCATTCAGAGTCACAGCTCATTTAGAACACAGGGATATAGTATACAGATACTCTTGGGCACATTCTAGAAAAATGATAAGCTTCTTATCTCCACTACTGGGTATTTAAGCTTCTGTCTTAAAGTTAATTCTACTGTCTGTTTCTGGTTTGAGAAGTGAATTTAGGGCTACAACAGATTCCTGAGAAATCCAGGTTATAAAATCCAGTAATGAGTAAGACAATTTCATTCCTATGAAAACTATACCTACAACCTTCTAAATGAGCACTGAGAACAATCTTATTTGGTAAATGAATGTGATGTTCTGTTTCTCTTTATCTTCTCCATTGATGGTCCCAGATGGTTAGGCAATATATCTGAAAGGTAAGTTGCTTTAGATCAAAGACCAAAGAAGGTATTTTGTCCTTAATCACTAAAGCTCTATTGCTCCTGCAGGACCAATGCATATCCCTTAAGGACTTAGATTAAACCTGAGAAATAAAAATAAATCAAACAAACAAACAAAAAAAAACCCATCAATATATGGCAATTATTTGGTGAGTTCTCTGCCTTTGAATAAAGTCACAGTCATGTGCTACCTAGAGATTCCAAGACACTATCTCCAGTTCCCTCACCACCATTCAGGATTTTTTTTTTTTTTTTTTTTAATTAATTTGTGATTAGGCTGAAAGTTTACAAAGAAAATTCATGTTCCATACAGCAGTTCACACACACTTCGTCTCATGACATTGACTGTATTCTCCCACAATGCAACAGCTCTCCTCCCATTTCCTCCCCATAGCCAACTCTTCCCTGTGTCCTTCTGGTCTTCATTTTCCAAGGCTCCTTTGGTTGCACCAGCACTTAAGGGTGTGTCAGGAGGACAGAGGAGCTGTCAGGGAAAGCCTCACTGGACCTCTATGAGCTGTTGTTTGTGTCCAGGATCTTTAGGTATTCTGGGGTGGTAGTAGTGGTGGGGTTGCGACTCACTATCTTCTCATGTGGAGCACATTCTTTCATTTATTCAACAGAAATTATTAGTCATTAGGAAATGCATCAGCCACTATTCTAGGTATTTGGGATACACTGGTGAACAAAACAAATTCCCTGCTTTCCTTAAACTAGTAAGCAAATCATATGGCATGCTCTAAAGAGATAACATCAAAGAAACATATATGTGATGGTGGGGAAGTAGCTTAGGAAGCTTTTGTTGTGTAGAGAACTCTTTTGAGCATAATATTCTGTTGAGTCCTCACAGGATGGTGGTACGTGGATGACTGTCTGTAGCTACTCCCACAAAGGAAACACAGGTACGGCTTCTCTCCTGTGTGGATTTTCTCGTGAGCCCGTAAGTTGGTTCTGTGGCTGAAGAACTTGTCACACTTGCTGCACGGGAAAGGCCTTTTCCTCTCATGAATCACTTGGTGCACTCGCAGGTCTGAAGTCTGGAAGAAGCCCTTGTGGCACACAGAAGAAACAAATGGCTTCTCATTTCTCTGTCTTCTCTGGTGGGCTTCTAACTGAGAGAGATATCTAAAGGTCCTGGGACAGTCCTCACATCTGTGTGGTTTTGGGGTCTTGTGAAATCTCTCTTGGTGTCCCCCACCTGGGGACTTCCCCTCATTGCTCTGGTGGGTGGGGGCAGGCTCAGAGGTGGCTTGATCTGGCCTGGAGATAAATCCTGGTTCCACCTCTATAGGCACATCTTGATGAGAGGCTACTCCCAGGACTCTTTCCTGGGACCCAGAAGTGCCTAGGCTTACTCTTCCAGAACTTTCTGGGTTGTCCTTTTCAGGTTTGGCACAGTTCTCTTCCTGGATAATCCCTAGGGAAAGCACTTAATTGTGTTGGCTAGTGACACCACCATGCAGAGTTTTCAAAGAAAGGTGGCTGCTGTCTTTATCTTTGCCTCCACATCCTGTTTGTGTGGAAGGATCTTGGAGAGTCCCAATGGAAGTCACCATGTTCTTCCCAGTTGGGGTACCTGTTGACAACTGTTTTGTGAGGTGAACAATGACGTCTCTTAAGGGTATAGTCTCCATAAAGAGGGCTTCCTGTCCCTGCATGCAGATGTGGACATAGCCAGGTGGCTCTATGCAGTCATTTGCCAGGTCTTCCATGATCTTCTCCAGGTTTCTGCCACATGAATTCCACCCTTCTCTCAAAATGGACCTTTTCTTGCAGTGCTTGTTCATCAGAAACTGCTCCAGGACCAACTGGGAAATCATTTCCTCCTTGCTGTGTTGCTTTGGGCTGCACCCACAAGTGAAATGCCTTCTAGAGTCTATGCAGTTCCTGCCATGCACAGGAGTTATTGCTGTATCGAAAGATGCAGAGCCCATGCTCTGGAGCCCAGAGGTCCCCTCTCGCTTCTGGACACCAAGTGCTCGGGGGCGTTCAGACTGTGGATGTCCTGACCTAGGATCCTTCCTGGGTGGGTACACCATCAGGATTTCCTGAGATCTAAAACCATACCTGGTGAGATTTCTCAGAGACTCAGCCAGGAGAACTTAGTCTCTGCTCACATGTATGTCTGAGGACGTTGCACCAACTGGTGCAGGCTTAAAGGCTCCTTCTCAGTGGAACCTTCAAATGTCTCCCTGGGATGGACCCTGAGCTGTGTGACCCCTCTTCTTCTTCTTTTTCTTTTAATCTCTTCTTCCTTTCTGTAAACATTGTGACTCTCTTGCCTATGAAAATTTGAAAGTTACTGTTATAACTGAATTTTCAAATACTGGGGGATGGGGGAAATGCCTCATTTCCTTGCAGAGCTAGAATGACAATCAAAGGGATTATCCCAGCTTCTAAACAAACTGCAAAAGATAGAATATTTATTTGAATTATATGAAATTCTATCCTTTGCCTATTCAAATGCCTTAGATCGCTGAACTGGTCAATAAATACTATGAAGTGAAATATGTAGTATTCCAGAATACTATAGAACCTCAGTGAAGGTGACACTATCCTACATTGTTCATATCAAATTTCTTAACCAGGCATCTACCTTGGGTAACATTGAGTCATTAAGTTCCCTATGACTGGGTGCAAAATATGCACTTGTAATTACATTTTTGGAGAGAGGTACCCTCACTTTTATTATTACTTAGGTAGAAAGTCTGTGTGAGCTTATGAGTGTGTGGATGTGTGTGCATGTATGTGCACATGGTACTGGTACAAAAGCATTATTTTCTTTTTGTGTGCATTTCACCTGTGTATAATAACTGCTATAATTTGTTACAGGAACTTTGTAGTGCTATTTCTTAATTGACCAACTGCATTTGATGGAAATCCAGCATGAGAAAATCTATTTTGTCATTTCCAGCAGCAATTTGAACACAAAACATAGCATTATTCTTAGCTAGGAACGTTGCTTATGACAGCTGTTTCTGTTTTTCACATTTTTTCAAATCTTAAACATTCTATTTGTGTCAGAAATTTATACCTTCCAATTTAAAAAAGAAAAAAAAATATTTCACTAGTTGTCTGCCTACTTAGTACTATTGGGTTGAATGACAAAGTGGTGATCACTTTTCAGCAATAATTCTATTGTTAGAGTGATTTCATAGATGAGTCAGTCAGGACAGACAACATTTTGCTGTGGTAACCAATAGTCTCCCATATTTAGTGGCTTAAAACAATAGTGTTTTTATTTTTCTTCTTTTTCTTGCTCACTCTACATATGTGTTGTGAGTGTGCAGGGGCTATGCATCATGTTTCTGTTCAGGGATGCAGTATGATGGAGCCCCCACCATCCAGAATGTTGTCTGTCCCCTTGACAACAGAAAGAAGACCAGAAAATTTCACATTGAATCCGAAATGTTTCCACTTGGAAGTGATACTTGTTCCATGTGCTCATGTGTTGCTATAAATTAGTAACATGGTCATGCCTAACTTTTAGGGGAACGAGGAAGTACAAGGTGTCTGAAAGGGACAATTGTAATATTGCTGGGCAGCTATATGGCTACCCTAGCAAAGGAGGTATTATTTTGTTCATTTTAAAAACAGGGTCTAAGGATCAGTGACAAAGTGACAAAGATAAAGATAATAAATAGCTGTAATTTGGGCAATATGCTGCATAATGACAAAAGATGTTACTATTAAAAAGTAATTGGTGGAAAATATTCAAACACTCTCAAACTTAATATTAGTTATGTGACCTCAGGCATATTTTGTCCCTGGATGGTATAAACAGTTAATGTGCTTGGCTACTAACTAAAAGGTTGGTTTGAGTCCATTCACAGGCTCCTTGGAAGAAAGACCTGGCAATCTGCTTCTAAAAAATCAGTTGTTGAAAACATTGTGGAGCATAATTCTACTGTCACACATGTCAGGTTGCCATGAGTCAAATTTGACTCTACCAAACTGGTACTGGTAGGGCATATTTAAAAACAGAATCTCACTGCCGTAGAGTTGGATCCAACTCATATAAACCCCTCCTTGGGTTTCCAAAGTGATATCACTACGGAAGTAGATTGTCTAACTTTCCTTCCGAGGAGTGGCTGGTGGTTATAACCACCAGCCTTCTGGTTAGCAGTCAAGTGCCTTAGGTTCTATGCCATCACAGGGCATATTTAGGAGGGCATTAAATTTTTTATATTTCCAGGGTAGCAATGCATTCATCTGCAAGCTGGATTCAGAAGAAGACATGGAATGAGGGATATCATTGCTGATGTAAGATGGATCTTGGCTGCAACAAAGAATACCAGAAAGATGTTTACTTTTGTTTTATTGACTATGCAAAAGCATTAGACTATGTGGATCATAATAAATTATGGATACCAATTGAGAATAATGGGAATTCCAGAACACTTAATTGTGCTCATGAGGAGCCTACACATAGAGCAAGAGGCTCTCGTTCAAACAGAATGGGAATACTGCATGGTTTAAAATCAGAAGGGCATGGTCATATAGGCTGAGGATCACATGGTCTACTAGTCTCTTGGACTAATTGTTTCCATGCATCTTTTGGTTTTCTTCTTCTTTGCTCTGGATGAAGAGAGGCCCATCATAGCATCTAGATGGCAGCTTGCAAGCTTTTAAGACCCCAGTCATTACTCAGTAATGTAGAATAGAATTGCCTCATTGCTAGTATGTCAGGGTTGTATCATTTCACCATACATATTCAATTTGTATGCTGAGCAAATATTCTGACAAGATGGACTATATGAAGAAGTACGTGGCATCAGGATTGGAGAAACACTCATTAACAACCCGTGATATGCAGATGACGTACCTTACTTGCTGAAAGTGAAGATGACTTGAAGTACTCACTGATGAAGATTAAAGACTACAGTCTGCAGTATGGTTTACAGCTCAATATAAAGAAAACAAAAATCCTCACAACCGAGCCAATAACCAGCATCATGATAAATAGAGAAAAGTTTGAAGTTGTCAAAGATTTCATATTACTTGGTTCTACAATCAACACCAATGGAAGCAGCAGTAAGGACATCAGGTAACATATTGCACTGGGCAAATGTGCTGCAAAAGACCTCTTTCAAGTTCTGAAGAGCAAAACTGTGTCCTTGAAGACTAAGATGCACCTAACCTAAGCCATGGCATTTTCAATTGTCTTATATGCATGTGAAAGCTGGGCAATGAATAAGGAAGACTGAAGAAGTGTTGATGCTTTTGAGTTATGGTGTTGGTGAAGAATACTGAAAATACCATGAACCGTCACAAAAGCTAATAAATCTGTCCTGAAAGAAGTGCAGCTGGAATGTTCCTTGGAGGTGAGAATGACCAGACTTCGTTTCACCTACCTTGGTCACGTTGTCAGAAGGCACCATTCCCTGGAGAAGAATATCATGCTTGGTAAAGTGGAGGGTCAATGAAAAAGAGGAAGACCCTCAACAAGATGGATTGATATTATGGCTGCAATGATTGGCTCAGGTATAGAAAGAATTTTGAGGCTGACACAGGACTGGTCAGTATTTCATTCTGTTGTACGTTGGGTCACTATGAGTTAGAGCTGCCTCAGTGGCATCTAACAACAACAACAACACATTCACCAGTGTTGGAGCATATTATAAGGTACCTTAGACATCTGAGAGAGTAACCCCTTTTTTCCTTCTCAGTCCCTCCAACCAGCTCTGCAATCTTGGGCAATCACTTAGGTTTGTTGAGTCTTAGCTTTCTTTTCTCTTAGGTGAGGGGGTTGGGTTTGCTGAAATCACTTCCTCCGTTGAGAACCTATGTCCTAAGATAAATACTTGATAGCCAATCAGCTCTGACTTTTGATCCTCCTTTTTCTGTTTTGGTAGATGAAGTTAACACCCAGGAAGTAGATGAGCAATTTACATTTATTTGATATCCTAATATGACTCCTTAGAACTCCAGGATTTTTAGAGCCTTACTAGATCTCAAATAATCTAAAGTACTTTCAAAAGTTTTTCCACTTCTCAAACTAATTCTCCTCTGAGATGACTTTTTCAATTCAAAATTAAGCTGCTGTCTTTTGAAAGTAGTTGAAGTCTTTATTCAAAAATTTTATTCTACCTAACAAGCAATTCCTGAGTATTTTATTAGATGGAAGTGCCATATTGTGTGTTGTATGGTTAGAAAGATATATGGGCCACTTTTTATTCTGAAAAGACTTAGTTTATTATAGAGAAACTAAGAAAAAGTTTTACAGAGGTGTGGATTACTTAGAATAATATAACTGCCAAAATCCACAGCCTTTTGACCAGAGTTTATAGCAAGTTTAATATAGAATGAAAATATTTCTGATATAAACTTAGATGTATATAAACTCAATGCCTATTCTGTAGAGTCATCGATTCTAACCATAGCAACCCTGTAGGACAGAATAGAATTGCCTCATAGAGTTTCCCAGGCTGTACTCTTTATGGTGGGAGCTCTAGTAGTATAGTGCAACAACAACCCTTTATGGTAGCAGAATGCCTCATCTTTCTCCCATGGAATGGCTGGTGGGTTCAAAGCACGGACATTGGTTAGCAGCTAAGTGCTTAACCTTTGCTCCACTAAGGCTCCTTTATATATATGAACATATAACACACACACACACACACACACACACACAAGTTTTTATTTTTGTTAGGTACCATCAAGTTGGCTACAACTTATAGTGACCCTGTGTACAACAGAACAAAACACTGTCTAGTCCTATGCCATCCTCACAATCCTTGCTATAATTGAATCTATGGTTGCAGCCACTTTTGTCATTATGCAGCCACTGTGTCAATCCATTTTGTTGAGGGTCTTCCCCATTTTTCCTGACCCGTTACCAAGCATGATATACTTCTCCAGGGAATGGTCCCTTTTGACAACATGATATATAAGACAAAATCTGGCCTTTCTTGCCTACAAGGAGCATTCCAGCTGAACTTCTTCCAGGATAGATTTATTCTAACTCATAGCAACCCTATAGGATAGAATAGAATTGCCTCATAGAGTTTCACAAGCTGTAACCTTTAGGGTAGTCCACAGTATTTTAATTTTTTTAAAATTTTCAGTTCATACACATTTTGTTTCATGACATTGACTGCAATTCCCTGAAATGTAACAGCTCTCTTCCCACTTCCTCCCTGTATTTACCTCTTCCCTGTGTCCTTCCCTCCCATGCACTCCTGCCTCCTGAACTATCTCTCTGTAAAAACACTGACCTTCTGTTCTCCAAAGAGTGTATCTATCGCATGTAAATGCTCACCCCATATGTCTGTCTGTTGTTTGGCTGGAAGCCACATGGGTGAGTTCAGTTCCAGACCTGAAGGGTAACTAGGGGCCATAGTCTCAGGGCTCTCATCAGGTTCTATCCAACTAGCAAATCTGTTTTTTTTTTTTTTTTTGTAAATGCTTTTGAGTTTTGTTCCACATTGTTTTCCCACTCTATCCAGGATCTCCTGCACCAATCCCCTCCAAGTGGTTGATAGAGGTAACCAGGCACCAACAGTTCTTCTGGTCTCATGATCATATAGGCTGAGGATCACATGGTCTACTATTCTCTTGAACTAATTGTTTCCATGCATCTTTTGGTTTTCTTCTTCTTTGCTCTGGATGAAGAGAGGCCCATCATAGCATCTAGATGGCAGTTTGCAAGCTTTTAAGACCTGTGATTACTCAGTAATGTAGGATGTAGAACAATGTTTTTGTGTAGTATGTTATGCCAATTGAGCTCGATGTCCCCTGAACCATGGTTTGAGTCCACAGGTCCAAATACTCACTCCCTCAGGGTAGCTGGCTGTAACCAAGAAGCCACCACAACCTTAGCCTTTGTCAGCTGTACTATACACCTGGACATTCTTACAGCACATGCAACTACACATGTAGAAACATCATTTGCCAACCTTATATATGGTCATGGGCACACTCCACCCTGCCTAGGCATACTTGATCATTCAGCCTGTCCATCCATCTATCCACCTGTAGATATTTTCAGTAATTTTCACTAATACAATTCAAAAGCATCAATTCTTCTTTGGTCTTCCTTACTCATTGTCCAGCTCTCAAATACATATGAGGAAATTGAAAATACAATGGCTTGGGTTAGGCACACCTTAGTGTTCTAAATGACATCTTTGTTCTTTAACACTTTAAAGAGGTCTTTTTTTTTTTTTTCTTTTTTAATTAGGATTTGGGTGAAGATTTACAGAGTAAATTCACTTTTCATACAGCAGTTCACATATACTTTGTCTCATGTCATTGACCAAAATTTACAATGCAGCAGCTCCCCTCCCACTTCCTCCCCACAGTTACCTCCTCCCAGTGTCCATCCCTTCATACTCTTCGAGAGGCCCATTGTCTGCCAACCCTGTATATGATCTTGGATACACTCTCCATTTAGACATACATAATTGTTTAGCTTGTTCACCCATCTATCCGTCCCTATACCCATGTTTGCTTTCATTGACAACTCAGTATTGTATTTACAAAGGGGTTCATATTTGTTGTTTGTACTGCCCATGTAACTCTCTCTGTCTTTCTCATCCTCAATGCTGCCATATTGGTCACTCACATTTGGTACATTGCCCTTCTCTTCACCCAAATCAATATTTATCTCTATCTATCTAACAGCATTCCCTCCCCTTCCCTCCCACCCCTGGTAACCAACAAAGAAAATGTCCTCCAATATATAAACCTTTCCTTAACTTTCACAATAACGGACTAATACAATATTTGTCCTTTTGTGACTGACTTATTTCGCTCAGCATAATGTCCTCCAAGTTCATCCACGTTATGCAGTGTTCTGCAGATTCTACATTATTCTTTAGCGTTGCATAGTATTCCATTGTGTGAATGTACCAAAGTTTGGTTATCCATTCCTCAGTTGTTGGACATCTAGGTTGTTTCCAAGTTTTGGCTATTGTAAATAGTGCTGCGATGAACATCGGCGTGCATATATCTGTTCTTGTTATGGCTTTCACTTCTTTAGGGTATATACCTAGTAATGGGATGGCTGGGTCAAATGGTATTTGTATTTCCAACTTTTGAAGGAATCGCCATACTGCTTTCCACAATGGTTGTACCATTTTACAGTCCCACCAGCAGTGTATGAGAGTCCCAATCTCTCCACAACCTAAAGAGGTCTTTTGCAGCAGATTTTCTGAGAGCAATATGGCATCTGATTTCCTGACTGCTGCTTCCATGTGTGTTGATTGTGGATCCAAGTAAAATTGACAACCTCAATCTTTTTTCCATTTATCATGATGCTGCTTATTGGTCCATATGTGAGGATTTTTATTTTCTTTATGTTGAGATGTAATCCATATTAAAAATTGTAGTCTTTAATCTTCAGCAGTAAGTGCTTCCAGTCATCTTCACTTTCAACAAGCAAGGTTGTGTCTTCTGCATATCTCAGGTTGTTAATGAGTTTTCCTCCAATCCTCATGCCATGTTCTTCATATAGTCTACTGTCTCAGATTATTTGCTCAGCTTAGAGATTGAATAAATATGTTGAAAACATACAGGCCTGATGCATGATCTTCAATTGTCATCAAAAACATTATCAAGGTGTGGGTTAAACAGTTATCTTAGAGAACACAATTAAATAGAGATAACACATACAAAAATTATTTTGCATTTCGATTACATTTAAACAAAAATCCCAGAAGAGTGACTACAGACTTATTTTTATCCTTTCTACACTTCCCTCAACCCCAGCTCTCTATTGAGTCAGTACTGCCTGATAATTTATTTCTTGTACTAGTGTTTGGAATTACTTGTGAGTCTGTTCTGCTCTTCTCTTTCCCTTGTTAAAGTATCCACAGAAGAGCCTGAATCTCAGCCCTTGTCACTTAGCAGGAGGTCAAGTGATTGAAAGCCTCACAGTGGCCTGCCAGCAAGGTCTTGATGTATCATTGATGTATTTTACATTAGAGGAAAAAGCCTTTTCCAGCAATGATGTACAGCCCAGGAGACACACTACATTGCATGTTCTGGGGAAAGGCGCCATTGTGACAAAATCCTGCATCAAACTGGTTATTCTTAAAAAGTGGAAATACTGGATGTGTAAATTCCTGAAAGTTGATTGAAATTTTTGTGTACAAGATAATACCAAAAGGTAATTGGACAAGGCTTTGCATTTTACACTTTTTATAGACATTCATTGCAAAGAATGACATAGTGATAAAATAACCACTCCAAACACATTAAGATCACAATTACATAAGATTAAGTGAGACCAAGAAATAAAAGTGCTTTGTGAACTTTTAAAGACTGTGGAAGAGTTTATTATTTATAGTTTTAGTTTCATTGTCTTTAGAAAAGACTCTTTTTGACTGGCATCAAAATAAATCTTCAATGTACATAAATGGATATTCTACTACCTCACATCCACCAAAGTAAGAAATGCATTGTCCAACCAAGTAATATCATTCCAGAGCTGACTCAGACAGTGGTTTCATCAGTATGGTGATAAGCAAGCTTAGGTTCTGCACATTCCTTATCATCCTGTTAGTAATACCTTATCTTTGCAGAAGCATCCTTGGGCAGTACAAATGGTTAAGCATCCGGCTGCTTACTGAAATGAAGAAGGTTCGAGTCCCCTCAGGGTCACCTCAAGAGAAACATCTGGTGATATAATTCTGAAAAAATTAGCCATTGCACACCCTATGGAGGACAATTCTATTCTGACACACATGAGGTTGCTGCGAGTCAGAGTGACTCAACAACAACTATTTATTTTTTAATTTTGTAGAGAATTCCATAGCTCACTAAGTGATTTCACATTTGTGGTTTCATCTGAGTTTCATGATAATATCTGAAGATAGATAGAGCAGGCACTATTATCCCTATTTTATACATGAGCAGGTAAATCAGGGTTTAGAGAAGTTAAACAATAAACCAAGATCACACTAAGTGGTTGGTAAGCAACTGAGACCCTATTAGGCTCAATTTATAGCCAGCACTTTTTCTAGTAGAAAGACTAGACTATAACTTTCATGAAGGCAAAGGCTCTATCTATTCTATTCTCCTTTATGTCTTTGTGGCTTAACATAGGGATCACAGAGAGAATGTACTGTATAAATGTTAACTGACTGACTGATGATGCTCAGATTATTATTTTCAATAGTTTTATAAAATTAAATGTATGGAGGATGAAAAAATTTACCATTAGGGAAGTACTTATACTTAACTTTTCTAAATAAGTACTGGCAATTGAATAAATGGTATAGTTTGTCATTCCCTCAGATATGTTATTGTTACATTAGTCAGCTGAAAGAGATCTTTTATACTGCTAAGTCCAGGAAATAAAAAAAAAAAAACGTATCTCATCTGTCAATAAAACATGAAATCAAGCTTGAGTTTCAGTGAATATTTGTCACTTCAGATTTTTTTTTAAATAAACCATCATATTTAATGATGATAAACAGTTTTAACTTTTTAAAAAATGTAATAAGCATGCAAGAATTTGGATTTATTCCTTCTTTGTTATTTACCTATGTCCTCTTCCTTCTTCAAGGCCTCTTAGACATAGTATCACTCATACATCTAGCTACAGCATTTTGTCATTTATAGACTCCTATGCATGCATTTTGGTAGAGAGTCAGTAAAGATGAGGGAAACCCTCTAGGAGATGGATTCACACAATAGTTGCAATGATGGGCTCAAACATGCCAGTGATAATGAAGATGATGCAGGACTCATCTATGTTTCATTCTATTATGCATAAAGTCACCATGAGTTGGAACTGACTAGATGGCAAGTAACAACAACAATAACAACCTGACACATATTGCACTATACTGTAGGTCAGAATTGAGACTTAACATGGCTGGCATAAGGTAAGCCTATTTTCCAGGAAATAAATGAAGAACAAGATAGAACTTCACTGTGGGGAATATGGGGAACAAGACAAGGGACCAGAATAGGACCTGCAGGAAGCTGGTTGTGGAATCTGGAATATAAAATGAGGGTTTAATCAGACAGACCAATAGCAGAGTGTGTTTACTGGAACTAAAACACAGAGTTAGGGAACAAGGGCTTCCCTTCTAATTTGATCTGAGTTGGTGTGGAGAAATTCTGTACTGTTGTTAGTTGCCAATCAGTCAATTTTGACTTATGAAAATTCTGTACTGGGGTCTCTTAATGTTCTTGAAAAAGAATTATAATGGTTTGTGAAGCCATTAGGTAGCAGTGGAAAGTATTAGAAGGATGCACATGAGGCTAACATCTTGAGGACCTTGAATGAGGCTAAAAGCAGAAGGCTGTATCCCATATTCTATTTAGGATTGTAGTGTCTATCAGAATAAAACTGATTATTTGGTAATGCAAGGTAGAGGAGGAATCCATGCATAGGGTTCTGACAGCTTTTATGTGAATGGCGAATAACCAGGAGTTTCATGGACTTTGAGGCAAGTGTAAAAAAGTAGCAGATGATGCTGGTTGAAGAGCTTAAAGTGTTGTCATGTTGTGATACAGTGACCTAGGTCAGGGACAGAGTGAGATTCACAGGCAGATCTAGGACTACACAAGAATGAGAACCTAGTAAGAGGTCAGGTAGAACTGAATCAGTGGACATACTATGTGGTTCTCACCCAGCTGAAAGAACAGACTAGAAGAAGCTTACCACTTGCAGGTTTTCCAGCATATGCAGGGAGACTGAGCTCCAAACAGTCACACCATGGGAATTTTTATCCCAATGTCCAATGAGGATTTAAAAAAAAAAAAAAAAAAATCCCTGGGACCTTCTCTGGTGGCCACAGCAAGATTTGTCATGGTCAGGAGGAATGGACGGTTGACACTTTATGAAACTTACCTTTTATCTGAAAGAGATAGCTGTAAACTAAGAGAAGATATAACCAGAAGTAAGTGAGATAAATCTATTTTTCTGTCACTCAATGTGGTGGGAATGTACAAGGAAGATGAAATTAATTACAAAAAATATATAAAAACCACACTTTGCACTTTTGAGTATATATGTTTGCAATGCCCACAATGTGTATGCTTTTGCAACTGGATAATCATATGGAGAATTTTGTTTTAAACTATGAAAATATTCACCTTTAGTGATAATCCTGTCAGGGCATAGAGAACTACTAAACCATTTTACAGATTGTGTAAATGGATGAAAGAGCAACTAGAGTGTGGAAACATTTACTTTTCTGCAGTATTTGAAGAAAACATGGTTCAAACATAAATTGTCTATGCTGAATGTGTGACAATTAATGTGTATTCTATGTGTAGCTGGAGTTATATTTATCTGTCTTTAAATTGATATACAGTCATGTGCTACATAGTATCTGTTCAGGCATAGTCTGATGGCAGGTATGTCCATTGTCCCATAGGTTATAATACAAATTCAAATCCACTGCCGTCAAGTTGATTCCAACTCCTAGTGACCCTATAGGACAGAGCAGAAATGCCCTGCAGGGTTTCCAAAGCTGTAAATCTTTACAGAAGCAACTGCCTCATTTTTATCCTGCGGAATGGCTGGTGGCTTCAAACCATTGACCTTTTGGTTAGCAGCCCAATGCTTTAAGCTTTATGCCACCAGAACATAAGGTTATAATTGAGTTCAGAAATCCTGATTGGACAGCAGGGCGTAGCAGACATGACCAGGCATAGTGAGTGCAACAGCTTCCTGCATGCAACACATGCATGCATGTCTCTTGTATACAAAATGATTATGCTGCCAGGCATATAATTGTACAGTACATATATAACCTATAATACATTTGTCTTGATAGTCATAATAAATGCCTATAACTGGCTGATGTATGTACTGTGCTGTACTTTTGTATCATTATTTGAATGTGAGCAATCCCTACTTACAAATGAAAGTTCACCGTGTAAGAGTGTATGCTTCAACTCGTGGATGGCAGCATCCAATCTTGTATATCATGCGTCTCTTGAGTGTTGTAGTGTTAGCTCTCTGTTTAATTTTCTTTTGACAATGTTGCTATGAAGTTGATTCTGCCTCCCAAATGGAGCAGAACCAGTACTAGTGATAACAGCAGCAAAAGGCAGAGGAAAAGTATTGATTGGGAAATGAAACAAAAGGCTTTAAAAAACATGAAGGTGGAACATCAGTGAACGTTACTGATCATGATTTAGGCATGTCTGTTTACTAAGTGAATAATGTGGTAATTGAACAATGTACAAATTACATAATATCCCATTTCACAGATGAGACCATGGATATTAAATGTTGCATACTCATATATGTTAAAATAAGAGGGTGTGGATGGGGCAATCTACTTCCATAATGATACTGCTTTGGAAATCCAAGGAGGGGTCGCTATGAGTCAGATCCAATGTGACGTCACTTAACAACAACAGCAACAGACCCAGGATCAGAACTGAGGTAGTTCATCACCCAATGTACAGCTTTTCAACTGCTGCAGCTTCCCAGAATGCCCCTAGTGATTGCATGTTATAATCCATTACCTTTTCGTTCTTTCCAGAGCCTCTCTTTACCGCATTACATTCTGAATGATTAATAAATTAATGAATTCCAATTACATTAATTAAAACGTGCCAGCTAGAGTAATCATAATTCCCAAGACAAAACAAAATTTATTGTTTACAATGTCTTCTTAAAATACTACGGCATATTATTAGATGCAAAAATAAATAATTATGCAGTATGAGTGGAGGAACTTTGTGTTTGAGAGGTCAGGGAAAGGAGTTTTAATTACTATAATAAATAATATCACTGCCATGGAGCAATGAGTATGGTTAGTGAATGAAACTGCATTGAATACCAACTTAATGTAGTTGAGCACCTTTAAGAAGGATATCTCTTGAAATAGTGAATAATTCAGCTTTTGCCAATTAAGCCAGTTCTTGGGCTGAAGTGTACTGAGTTAACACAGTTAGATTTAGTCATATTGTTTAATAGAGAATTCCAGGGATAAGTATTCAAATCCCTTTAAATGGCTTTTCATCAGATCTTATTCATATTAGGCTGACCTTTATTTCCACTATTACTTCCAGGAGAAGGAGAAATAA